TATATATATATATATATATATATATATATATATATATATATATATATGTATTTTCTGACTCAACTCGTCGAGTTAAGTCGGAATATAACAAAATTTTTCAAAAGTTTCGTCATGAGGACCATTGCAATAGTTAGATTTCTATGAAATCTACTAAAAAAAAAAAAAAAAAAAATTGAATATTTTCATCAACCGACATTAATACTTCATCTGTAGAAATAAATTAATGAATAATAATAATTGTTGTCTTTATATACCTATTAAAATTAATTCTTTTGAATTTTCCTCCCGATCCACAGTCATCTTTCTAGATACGAGATCAAAACCGCAGAATAATCTATGAAGTTATAAAAATAATTCAACTGTAAAGAAAGCTACTTTCGAGTTTTAATTCACACCTAACGAAACGGGCGAGTTATAGCTTGTAATTTATAAATCAATGGAATGACAGACTAGAGTTTATAATTCTGAGCAACAATCTATCATACACACGTATCATATTAGATATATCGAAAAATAAACAAGAGCCATTAGTAAAGCTACAAGTATAGAAAGGTGTGGTTTTTTCTCTATATTTAATAATGTGATTATTTAGGGGAAAAATTGTTAATTCCGTATAATGTAAAATTTTACAACTAATATATCGATAGATACCATTCAGGTGCGGCAATAATTCAAAAGTACGCCGGCGTCGTGTTCACACAAATGTGTTCGAGAAATCGCCGTAGAACACGCTCTCTAAAATTATAACATCGTGTTCTGTAGGAGGTTGTCCTAGGTGTGTCGAGTATTTTTTCACAGCTATCATTAGTAGTAGTTAGTCGAGTAGCTGTTGAGTTAACAGCACATTAACTCGAATATTTACAAATTATTGATATGTATAGAGAGTAGATTGTACACTCAAAACTATCTGCTCGCAATGACGGATCAGACTGAAACTGAAGTCCTCCGAGATAATTCTTGTGACAACTTGAAAAATCTTTCGTTGACACCGATACCACAACAGGTAAATAAAATAATTATTTTTTATAATTTATAATCGATAAAATAACTATTAATTTATTGAAATTTTATATTTTGTAATCAAGGTTGAAAAACTCGATCCTTAAACAGATATAGCTTCATACTTGATATTTTTTTATGAAATGTTAGATTATTTTTTATTTGGCGGTAGGAATTCTAGTTTCAAAAATGAAGATCGTTATTTTTATAATCGGTGGAATATTCTTAAAAATTGACTTTTCAACATATATTAACGTACAAAAAAAACACACGAAACTATCTTCACTGAAATTAGAATAAAAGTTGCTACAAACTAAATTGAAGATTAATTGATCCTAGAGGTTTTGAATTCTTACAAATAAACGAAACTTGATAAGATGGTTTTTCTTGTTAAGTTTTGAATTGTCCACACTACTGTTACCTCACTTCAAACCATAGTAACTGCAAAATTTTTAAAACGAATTTTTTTGGTATTGTTACATCTTATTACTTTTGGTTTACAAGACCGAGTTGAAAAAAATGAACATAGATGAGTTCAAATCAATTGTTTTTAACTTCCCGTTAAAAATTAAAAATTTTAAAAAATTCCGGAAGTTATTGGTTTTACCCCGATCTCGACGTTTTGAGGTTCTAGAAATCTTCTCTAACTATTTTTACGGTGGTGTCCGTGCGGCTGTGTGTTTGTGTAAACTTCTCATAACTTTTGAACGGCTTATCCGATTCGATCGAAATAAGCAGCGTTCCAAAGATTTCCAATGCCATTAAATTTCCTGAAAATTTGAACCAATTCGGTTTGCTAGATTTTGAGAAATTCCAAAAACAAAATTTTCAAAAAATCGTTTTTTTGGAATAACTTCTAAATGGCTTTATCGATCAATCCCAAAAACTAATCAGCTCTTAAATTTAGAAAACTACGTCGATCGCCGCCAGGCCGATCAAAAGAATCAGACCGGTCGGTTGATTCGTTCGAGAGATATATCGTTGACGAAAAATTTGGGAACAAGTGTTTTTTTAACATAATTCCAACATTTCTTTTCAGAAAATTTTTTATGTAATGAAATGATATAACTGTACGAGCTCAAAAAACCACGGCGATCTTTTCCAAGAACGTCAAAATCGGTTGATTGGTTCGTGAATTATCGTCGACGAAAAAAAAGTAATTTTTTCGAATTACTTCGAAATTTTTGGTCTGATCAATTTGTGTTTAAAAGAAAATCATAGGATTAAAAAAAACTGCGTTGAATGCTGCCAAACCGCGTGAGAATCGATTTATTCATTCAAAAGTAATTGCAGTTTGAAAATTAAAAAAAATAGTGTTTTATTAAACTTCTATCAGGCTTTTGAGCTTGAAGAATTCAAACGCATAGAACAGCTCTTTGAGCTCAGAGAGCTCAAAATCGTCATAAGTGCGATTTTATAAGAGCTTAGATACGGAATTCGCGGGAAGTTGCAGGGATGGCCTTTAGGGGTCAACCGTTTTCCTAATTTTTTATAGTAGTTAATTTCAGATCATTTTTAAGTTCATTTCAGTTAATTTTTTCAACTCGATCTGATATTATTTTTCTTAAAATTTATTTTATCGTTATATCTTTTGTATTTAAATCAAAATGTTTATCGATTTACAATGGAAACTCTTTTCTTACAACTTGTAAGGCAAATTAAAAAAAATGTAAGAATTTTTCATATAACCTGCATTGAAAATGCGAGTTTCAATGCTTGTTGAGCCAACCGAAACTAGACAATTTCAGACCAATGCGACTGTTGCTGGGCAGGAATCAATCATTTCTGCCCGCGAGATGAAATTGCAGCTTTATTTTCAATCCTATCAATTGTTTGTTTATTTTATACCTTTATAATTGTCATTCTAACCGTTAACTGTACTGACATGTTATAATTCTGTTACTAAGCATAAATAAGAATGACAAAAGAAAACTATTCAATTTACGAATAATGTTTAATAAAAAATAAACTATTACTTTCTATTTTATTATGTTCACGGAAAAGAAAATGCGGTAAATCCAACTACACTTGGAGTAGCATTTACCACAGGATGGACTAAAGTATATATACGCTATAGTGTGTTTACGGATGATTTTCATGTGTTTCTGTGACAACTCCAAGTGATGTTGGATTTACCGCACGTTTTTTTCCGTGTTTTATAATAAAATGGTATTTTTGCTATTTGTCTGAAACTATCTAGTTCTGGTTGGCTCCAGACATTGAAACTAGCATTTTTAATGCAACTTATATGAAAAATATAATGTGTGACGTGGGATAAAACACGATTTCAGACCGAGTGATGCCAGCCCTCGCTTCGCTCGGGCAGGCAACTTCAGGTTTTGTTTCATCCCTAGTCACACAATATACTATTCATTTTCTGTGTTTTGAAATGGAGCAACTGACAGTTGATAAGAATTATTTACATACTGCTGTTGACAGTAAAATTTTTTTTTAGGATATTTTTATCCATAAAATAATCATGTCATTTTTTAATGTTATAAATTTTTATGTCAAACTCTATGATATCTACAATTACGAATATATATGAGATTTTCGAATCCTTTATAGAGGAATTTTTTGTCAAGTTAACTATATATTTGAACAAAGACTTTGCACTTAATTTGAGAATTTTAAACTTATCGCTTTGAAAATTAATAATTTTCAAAAGCAGGAAGTTATTGATTTCAGTCCGATTTTGAAAATGCGAGTTTTTATTATATTTCCACGTTTTGAGGTCCTAGGATCTACCGACTCAAGACTTTATAATTTATTTCTGTGCTCAAGAAAATTACGTCGAATGTCGCCAAGCAAATCAAAATCGAACAAGGCGTTCAAAAAGCCATTGAAAAACTTATAAAAGAAATCGAAACTGAAAAAATCGTTTTTTTTATATAACTTTACAATTTTTAGGCTCAAAGAGCTCAAAAATCAACTGATTGGAAAATTTTCGAGCTCGAAAAAACTCAGAAGTTCCAGGGATGGCCTAAAAACCAACCGCTTTACAGATTATTTTTTCTTTTATCAAAATATTTCATTTATTTGTGTTATAAATCAAAATTTATTAACTAAAATTTTTCTCCTTAATTACTAAGAAATCTTTGACCTCAAGGAAATTCTCCGATTAAAAGTTATAAATTTTTTTTTAGATAAGTAGTTTTACCAATTTATGTCAAGAATTAAATTTCTTGTTACATAGAAAATAATAAAAAAAAAATATTTTCCTTAGTCCAAGTAAATATTTGTTTTTATGTCCCCATAAATGATAATAGATCCGGAAAATATCATGTGTAATTTATTTCCACTGCATATTCTATAAGCTCCCATTAAAAAGGTTCTTTCCTCATCCTATCTCAACCCTTATCCTTTCCATATCCTATTACGGGAATGTGGAACGTTTCACATCAAATTAATCCGTAACTGACATTCTTTCCCGCTTCACAGTATTGTTTCGTTTGTAAAAATATGAAACGTTTCATAATTTTGCGTGTCATCTTTGAAACTGTAAAATTTTTATACACATTTTGAAATTAAATTTAAAAATTACAGTCAAAATTTAACGTTTATTTTTTTAATGTAAAAATCTACTGCTTACAACTAATAATGTAACTATTCTTCTTATCTTTCTGCCCAGGAACTCCTCGACAAATCTTCTGTAACTTTCTTTTTTCCTGAGAAAATTGGAAACGAAATTGAAGAAGAATCTCTAAATAAAATGACTCTTTCACCAACAACTTTAATAAATTCAGCTCAAATAAGTGACATTGAAAATTATGCAGAAAACGATTATTCTGTATCTGCGTCTGCTAAATTGCGAAAAAAGTCGTCGAAACGTTCGAGTAAAACGAAAAAGAAAAGGTCGTCGTCATTTAATGTAGAGGATGATATTGATGATTACGGAAATCCAATGAGGCGTCCATCTGCATTAACATCCTCTTCTGGAGAGTATGTATATTAAAAACAACTAAAATCAATATTCAAAAAAAATAATTACATGGCGTATATATTTCATGGCTAGGACAGTAATTTCTATTGATGCAGCAATGAGGGAAGATTTTGAAGATGATGGAACTCAAGAACAAATTTTCGAAAAACTTAAGATTCATAAAGAAGTTCTCAATGCTGTAAAATATCGATCTTGGTCTCTTAGAAAAAAAGTTAAAATGGTGAAACAAGCTAAATCATATATTTCTAAACATGAGGGTGCACTTCAAGAACGTCTTGCTCAAAGTAAAAATACAAGAGATGCTTTAGCGCGTATCGCTATTTTTACTAGTAAAGTAAGTAAATTATTATAATTTATATAATTAATTTTTTTTACGTTCTTCATAAAAAAAAAAAAATGTCGATCACTCTCACTTTTTTTATTTTAAGATTTGTTCAATTACCTTCTTACTGGAAAGAATGACAAGTGTATATCTAAAATCTCATAAAATCTACGAATATTTTTATGCTAAGATATTAAAAACAATCGTATACTTTTTCATCCAAGTTTCATGATTAAAAAAATTAAAGAAAATTGATAGTTGTGAAAAATGTGAAATATTCATTAGTAAAAAAAAAAAGTTTACTCGAGTTTATTGAAACAGCCGGTGAGCCTAAAATTTTATAACTAGTATAGTCAGACCATCTTCAAAAACTCGTTCTTAACTATTTTATTTACCTATTCAAATTTTAATTTTTTTTTTTTTTAAATAAATATAGTTTGAAAAATCAATAATATAAGATATTTACAATTAATTTGATGATTATTAATAATTAAAATAATAGATGTCAATAATTAGTACATAAAATTTAAGGTGGATCTCATGCTGAATAAACATCTATTTTGTATACTTATATTTAGTTCAACAAATTACTGACTTGACAGTTTTATGAATGTTAAATTCATATAACAGCATGTCACTAATTAAAAAAGTTGATTTTGTTAGCCTGTCTATAATTGGAGTCTTGGTTTTTTACTTTATCAGTTGAAATAAGCTATATTAAAGTCCAAAGACTAATTAATACAGACAGTGTTGAAAGAAAACTCACGAATTCTAATTTTAAATATGTTGAACAAAACTATAATCCTTGTTGTCTCTTGTGGTGCTAATAATTGATACTTTTACCTTATTTTGTTTATAGAAATGGCAATATTTTAAACGTGAGTTAATAAATCTTCAAACATGGTTGGTGCCTTGGGAATCAAGAGTCAAAGAAATAGAATCACATTTTGGTTCTGCTGTAGCTTCATATTTTACGTTCTTACGCTGGCTCTTCTGTATAAATCTTGTGATATTTTTAACACTAACAATATTCGTTGCTATACCGGAAATTCTTACAGCGGACAAGAATCGTTCTGGTGATCGGAAAATTCTGTTACCAGATGAATCAAAGAAATCTACATATTTTCTAACTTTATGGGAATTTGAGGGAGTTTTAAAACATTCACCTTTTTTTTACGGATGGTATACTGATTGGGATTCTAATAAAGGATACCGGCTTCCTCTTGCTTATTTTTTAGCTAATTTGATAGTCTATACTTATAGTTTTGTCGCTATTTTACGCAAGTAATTAACAATAATTTATAAAATTTAACAAAGATTTCACTACCTATGTTCAATTTTGTATAGAATATCATGTGTCATTTTTACAGAATGGCAATTAATTCACGGATGAGTAAACTATCAGAAAAAGAGGACGAATGTGCTTTTACATGGAAACTTTTTACCGGTTGGGATTTTATGATAGGAAACCCTGAAACTGCTCACAACAGAGTCGCAAGTATTATATTAGGATTTAAAGAATCATTGTTAGAAGAAGCTGAAAGACATAAAAAACTTGGACAGTTAGTGTTTACAGTAAAATTTGTATTAAATTATACTAAAACCAACAGATATTTGATTGCCTTTATAAGATTTTTTTATATAAGAAACAAATTGACAAAAAAAAATTAAAAAAACAATCCTCATAATAGGAAAAATTGTAAGAAACTATGAATGCAAATTTTTCAAATAAAAATTTTAGTACTAATATTTCTGTATCAAATAAAACTACAAAATTGCTAGATGTCTGCTGATTTCAGTTTCATAGTTTTAAAAATTCAAATTTCAGGTTAAATAAATTTCTTTTTCAAAATTTTTTAGTTGGAAAATCACAACGATTCGCATATTTGTTAATTTATTCGTCATATTACTTCTTACATTGTCAGCATACGCAGTAGTTGTAGTCGTGGCTAGAAGTACACAAGAATCAGCAAACAGTAGTTGGTGGAGACAAAATGAAATAACAGTAGTTATGTCATTGATCTCATATATTTTTCCAATATTTTTCGAAGTTTTGGGTTATTTGGAAAATTATCATCCTCGTAAACAGTTGCGGCTACAACTAGGCAGGTAATTCATGATAATGTAACGATTTTAATTACTTACTAAGATTATTCACTGAATGATTTTTATTTTACAGAATTATGGTATTGAATCTCCTCAACTTGTACTCATTAATCATTGCTCTTTTCGACAAGATCAGTCAAATGGTGAGAAAATACGATTATTTTTACATCATTTTTATTAAGGGTATATACGCACTAAGAGGTCAAAGAACGTTTCTTCGGGAATTTTTTGGTTTTTTCCTGACCATTTTTATAATAACGGTCTAATCGAATATTTTTTAGTACCCCAAGTTTAAATCTACCTTGCGAAAACAGATATCAGTAAAATTCTTGAAAATTTTTAAATTGTTGTAGAGTAACATCAAAAAAGTTATTCAAGTCGGGCGATTGTTTTTACGCCAAAAAAAGTATACCAAAACACTATAATCCCAATGAAAAAAAAAATGTACAACAAAAAATGGAATTAAAAATACAATTTTGAAGAAAGTACCTATATAAATAAAATATTTTGTTAATTTTTTATATTGATAGATCAAATAATAAAATAGCGAATTTAGGCCCTTGGTAAAGTCGAAAAACTATTCAAACGAATTAAAGATAACTAAAAATTAACCACTATAGTAACATAAAGTGGTGCCCATAACGATTTATGGAAAAAAAATTTTAAGTTTGAATGTCAACAACTACTTATGTACTTATATGTATGTAAGCACTTTGGATAATTTTTAACTTCCCGCTAAGAAAATCGAAGATTTTCAAAATTCGGGAAGTTATTGGTTTTACCCCGTTTTGCGAAAATTGAGTTTTCAACAGATCTCGACGTTTTAAAGTCACAGGAAGCTTCCCTGACTATTCCCACGATGGTGTCCGTGCGGCTGTGTGTGTGTGTGTGTTTTTTTTTTGGGGGGGGGGGGAATACTTTTTACGGATTCTAGGCATAGATGTTGGCCCGTATATGTGGCGACTCGACGCAGCATCATACTAAAACTCGACGCTGACGCCCTTACCCACTAAACCCTAAACCCCTTTCTCTTCTATCCTCTGATCCCCCATGGTACCGCCGTAAGGCATTTCTTCGCGGGGGGAGGAATTAGCTGCCGCTCTTCCTTCTGGTGGCTAAGATGTTATTTCTTCCTTCTAAATTCGGTCTTTCGCTCTTTTCCTCTCAATGGATCGCAACTCAGTAAGCACTTTTGTAGCAAAAATGCTTGTGGCGTTCCAGGCAGCTTCTGACGACAACATAGCCTCTACTATTGACTCTGGTTGGGTTCTCTTCTTCAGAATCTTCTCTAACTCATTGCGCTGTTGGTTGAAACGTGGACACACAAAGAAGACATGCTCCGCATCTTCATTGACCCCTGGACAGGACGGGCACTCTGGGGTATCGTCATGCTTAAAGCGGTGGAGATACTTCCGGTAATATCCGTGTCCTGATAACATCTGCGTTAAGTAATAGTTGATCTCACCGTGACTCCGGTTGAACCACTCATCAATCCGAGGTATGAGACGGTACGTCCACCGACCCTTATCTGAAGCGTTCCACTCTTGTTGCCATCTTGCGATGCTGTGTTGCCGTTCTTCGCTTCTAAGTTTTTCAGGGCTCAGTGTGGTTGACCTTTTTCGCTGATATAGGTTCCGTCTTTCCTCTGCTAGGACTCTGAGGGGCAGAGTACCGGAAATAACACACACTGCATCCTCTGATATTGTGCAAAAGGCGCTAGCTACTCGTAGGGCACTCAGTCGATATACTGGTCCAGCCTTTCTCCATGATTCTTGCGTCTTTAGTGCGTCGGCCCAAATGGATATTCCGTAAGTAAGCACCGATGTGACTACTGATGACAGTAATAGCCTCCTGCTCTGCTTTGGGCCTCCGACGTTCGGCATCAGTCGTGCTAGACTAGCCCTCACTGCTGATGCTTTGGCACTGACATGCTCCACTTGCTGCTTGAAGTTGAGTCGGACATCAAGCATCACTCCCAAATATCGGATATAAGGTTGTGATGTGATTTCTTGTTCGCCGACTTTCAGCTTAATGGTCTCTACCACTTTTCTGCTGGTAATAAGCACTGCCTCAGTTTTGTGTTGCGCCAGTTGCAGGTTCACTGCGTCCATCCACCGGTTAACGCGCTCAAAAGTGAGATCAAACATATGGTTTATCTCGTCAAGGTGTTTGGCAACAATCACTACGGCTACGTCATCTGCATATGCTACGAGTTTGACGTTTCTTGGCAGAGTTAGTCTTAATAGACCGTCATACATAATATTCCATAGGAGCAGGCTTAGAACTGAACCTTGTGGTACACCTCCAGTAATATCATACTCCCTCGGACCGTTCTTCGTGTCATACTTCAAGACCCTATTTTCAAAGTAGCTTGTTACGATCTTAAGCAGGTATTCTGGTACATTCTTCTCTTGGAGGGCCTGCATGATGCATTCCCAATTGGCGGAGTTGAATGCGTTTCTGATGTCTAGGGTCGCCACCAGGCAATACTCTTTCGTTCCACCCTTCCATCTGGTTCCTGCGATTGCTTCCTTAGCCGTATCAACAACCAGTTTGATTGCGTCCAGGGTTGATCGTCCTTTTCGGAATCCATACTGATTGTCTGCCAGGAGTGGGTCGACTACTGCATTTATTCGTTGATGAATTATGCGCTCAAATATCTTACCCGCCGTATCTAGCATGCAAAGTGGTCGGTAAGATGACGGTTCTTCTGGTGGCTTCTTCCCTTTAGGTAACAGTACCAATCGTTGCTGTTTCCACTTACGAGGAAAAGTCCCCTCCTTGAGGCATGCATTATAAGCGTCTAGGAATAATGTTGGAGCTGCCTTTATGATGATTTTTAAGGCTAAATTAGGGATTCCGTCCAATCCCGGCGCTTTATTATTCCCTACACGGTTACAAGCCTCCAGCAATTCTTCTTCAGTGACAGGTGGGATGTCGTCCAATTCGCCTGGCGTGTGTGTGTGTGTGTGTGTGTGTGTGTGTGTGTGTGTGTGTGTGTGTGTGTGTGTGTGTGTGTGTGTGTGTGTGTGTGTGTGTGTGTGTGTGTGTGTGTGTGTGTGTGTGTGTGTGTGTGTGTGTGTGTGTGTGTGTGTGTGTGTGTGTGTGT